GAAAAAGAAGAGAAAACAAAAACAAAAGCAAGGCCCCAAAGGTGCTAGGTTATGTAACAACAAGGGCGCTATTGTGATCACCTGGCAGGATTCTGCGAGCTGGGGTTTTGGGAATTCAGCCTTACCTGGACATATGTAGTGAAGTGGCACTTCAGGAGGCAAAGCCAGCCATACAGGACTCTGTAGTTCCCAGGCCAGCCACTCCGACCCGGCAGAGAGAGGACTGCCTCAGGGAAAATTGTGAAATTGACAGAGGGTTGCAGTGCCAATGGGGAAAGAAGCCAGCTTTGTGCTCACCCATCCTATCCCCCACCAACTCCTCCCTCAGGCACCATGGGACTAGGCAGTTGGTCTGCTAGTATCTTATCTGGGCTTTTTTGCTCTGCCTTAATCCTACTCACAAATTAAGAGACTCTTACCTGTCCCTTTCTTCCCAAGTATGGGACAAAATGTTGCATTGAGGACTTTTACCCTCTTCTTCCAGATAGCAAATTTACATTTTAATAGGAGACTGTGCAAACAATGTCCTCAAAATAGAGTCTAAAGGTGAAATTTCTGTTGAGTTGTGATGGTGTGGGGTGGAGTGGGGAGGGGGAGGGCAGGGAACACAGTGGGAGAAAAGGGACAGAAAATCCATGACCAGCCTCAAGGGGGGACCTGCTGCCAGTCCTAGCTGATTGTTACCACATAGTCAGGTGGGCTCAGGGTCACCAGACTGTCAAATTGCCCCCAACTCCCATCTCCTAGACAACCTAGGGACTGGATTTTTGTGAAACCTCAATTTTAACTAATAAGTTTTAGGAGTCTAGTATGGGATGAGTAAGAACACATTTCCTAATTTAATTTGGACCACAGTCTCTTGACCATTTATTTTAGGCGGACTTCAGTTACATTGTCTGTATATGGCAGGAGACTGTTTTATTATGAACAAAGAAGATAATTTACCAATGTCAAGACCACAGTTTTATGGGAATGAAAGAAACTTGCTTGCCCTGGCAGGCATTTAATTTCCAGAAGACACCGAAGGGTGTATTTATTTTCCAACTAAATTATCATTTAGTTTGTATAACTGACCAAGCAGCCAACTTAAATAGGACATACACAGAATTTCATATGGTTCCTCCCTGCTGCCTCCACATTAAAAAAAAAAAAAAATCAGAATAAGATTTATGTAACATGGAATTAACCATTTTAAAATATACAATTTAGCAGGATTCAGTATATGCATAATGTTGTGCAATTGTCATCTCTAGTGAGTTCTTAAAAGTTTTCATCACCTAGAAAAGGAGGCCTGTACTCCTTAAACACTCTTTTCTCATTTCTTCTTCTCCCAGAGCAAGCACTAATCAGCTGTATGAAATGATTTATTTAAAATATTTCATGTAAAAGAAATAATCTATTACGTGATGTGTCTGTGTGTGTGTGTTCTCTCTTTTACTTAGTGCAATGTTTTTAAGGCTCATCCATGTGGTAGTATGTATTCATACATCATTCTTTGTTATGGCTGGATAATATCCAGTGGAATACGTATACCAACTTTTGTCTGCCCCATTCATGTTGATGGCTATTTGGGTTGTTTCTACTTCAGGCTATTGTAAATAGCACTATTATAATCATTTGTATATGAGCTTTGTTTGCTTTTTTTCCCCCCCAGCTCTTCAGGGTATACAGTTAGGGAGAGAATGGCTGAGTTATATAGTCATTTTATGTTTAGCTTTGTGAGAAACCACCAAACTGTTTTCTACAGTACCCCGTACCATTTTATATCCCAGCTAGCCATGTGAGAGGGTTCCAGTTTCTCCACATCTTCTCTAACCCTGTTATTTCCTACTGTTTTTGTTGGTTCGTGTGTTTTGTTATAAGATGGGGGTCTTAGTGTTTCACAGTCCTTCTGCCCCAGCCTCTCCATCTGGACTCCAGGCATAAGCCAGCACGCTCCTCTTGCTGTGCTTCCCAGGCCAGTCTCCAATTTGTGATCCTCCTGCCTCAGCCTTTCTAGTCACTGTGATTGCAAGCGCATTCCACTGCCCCTGGCCTTTATGCTGGACTGGGACTTAAATCTCAGCCTCCTGTATGGTCCCACTGTGTCTTTGCAGTACACAAGCCTGGGCCTGTTGTTTTTAAAATAGCCATCCTAGTGGGTGTGAAATGGTCTCTCCCTCTGGTTTGATTTGTGTTTCCCTAATGATTATTGATGTTGAGTCTTTTTATGAGCTTATTGACTATTTGTACTTCTTTGAAGAAATGTGTACGTGGGTTGGATTGTTTGTCTTATTGTGGTTGATTTGGAAGAGTTTTTTTTAATACATTCTGGATACTAGATGCTTATCAGCTATATTATTTGCAATATTTTCTCCCATTCATAGATTGTCTTTTCACTATTTTGATAGTCCCTTTTAAAAATATGACACATGTAGGGACCAGCAGGTGGCATGGTGGTTAAGGCGCTGAACAAACCCACATGGCTGACCACAGTTTGAGTCCTGGGCCTGGTAGCTTGCTTTCTCACTTTCTCTCCCTCTCTCTCTTTCTGTGTGTCTCTCTCTGGTCAAATTAAAATAAATGAATGCGTGAATAAGATTAAATAAATAATTTTTTACAAAAGGCACATGTGCAAACACATGCACATACATTTTTAACCTTACAATATTAGTGCTACAGAGGATTTGGAACTATATCATATAACCCTCTCTATTTAAATGGGAAAAACTAAGGGTCTGAGAGATGGGGAGAATCTTGGGTTTCACCAGAACTGGATTGGAAAACTCTGGTTATCTTTCTAGCCTTTAGAATCCTTTTTTTTTTTTTTTCTTTTTCTTTTTTTGAGAGTTTTTTGCTATAGAGTACATGTGCTTGCCAGAAAGACAGAAAGAGACAGAGAGACAGAAAGTGAGAAATCACCCCCCAAAGGGGATGGCTAGGCCACAATCCCTTCTCCTCCATTCTCCTCTTGGGATCTTGACTTGAACCACACATGTTCCCGGAGAGAGTTTAAGCCACCAGGTCCAGGACTTGAACCACGTTTGGCTACATGGGAGTCCAGTGACATAGCCATTACCCCAACTGCTAGTCCCATTCTTTAGAATCCTTTAACACTTTCAGATAGGCTCAAATAAGTGAGGGGAAAAGTCACCACCCCTCTTGTGATATGTCCTGTGTGTCTCAAATTACAATTCTGGTTTAATCACTCCACAGAACACTTTACAAGCAGTTGGTGGTATTTCCTTTTCTTTTTTGGTGTCCCTCCTAATTGGGAAAAAATGGGGTAGGCAGACATACAATAGTGGTAAAAAAAAAAAAAAAAAAAAGAGGAAAGAGAACCCTGTTATGTTGTATCTGGGAGTTCCTGTTTTAGGTCAGCTACAGATGGCTAAATAAGCCACAATACATGTGGATGGCCCCAAGTGGAAAACTTTCTCAGCCTTTTGATGTGGGGATGTAGGGATAGTGACATGCCTCTATTCCAGGATGCCCGTCCATCTTGCCCTTTAACTTGATTGATGAACTCCATAGCCCTCTCTTCCTTTGTGGTCTGGATGGCGTAGTCAGTCTCTCATCTCCTGACTCCTACTATGGTTTTATTTATTTATTTTTTTTCCCCAAGCTAATGGAAAGATGCCTTCTGTCTTCACACTTCTTTGCAAGCTTCCTGGATCTGTCTTAGTATCTAGGTTATGACCACCCCATATTCAGCATTTGATTTTGTTCTGTTGTGAATTGGGGCAACATTTCTTCACGAAGTCTCACTTTCTTTGAGTAAAGTCCCTACATGGCCTCTCCTACCCTAACACTCAAAATTTTGGTTTACTCTATTTATTGCTATGAATCCCTCAAGCTAAAAATAATTTTCTTTTAATAGTCCCTTTCTTTTAAGAGATTATATTTTTCCTGTATATATTCTGCTCAAAGTCTCATTTTTAAGTCCATTCCTACTTGAAAGTCTCGGCATTGGCTCTTCCCTTTGCCTGGAATACTGTTCCCCAAGCTGAAGTGGTTGTTTATTGCTTATAGATTGGGTCTCCCTTGAAATATCACTTTCTGAGTCTTACTCTCTCTGCTCACCTTTTTTGATGTTACTCCTAATCACTATTATGGAACTTCCTTTCTCTTCTTCAAGACAGGGTTCACTTTTTGCTCCCTCAACTCAATTTATCTGTTTCCTCTAGGAGTGAGATGGACAGACGGACAGCATACCCAACAGGGTCCTGATGGGTCCTGATGCTGTGATCAACCCATCAGCTCCAGACATCCCTGGACCATGGGCACTCCTCCACCAGCAAACTCAGGGAGATGTCCAGACATAAACCTAAACCCTCCCACGTGAGTTCGCCTCACAGAACGTCACAGTTTACGGCTGCCCCACTCTTGGTTTCGTGGTTCCCTATCTGAAGAGTCCTTGCCCCTTGTCATCCTTTGTCCTTACTTAACTGATGTTCTGGGAACAGGAACTTCTGCTTAAGTTATTTTTGCACTTTTCACACAGGTTTGCTGAACCAAATCTCACACATACTGAACTTTCAGCAAATGGTTTTTGAATAAATGCACATTTTTCTAGTTCAGAATTGTCTGTTCTAAATACTCTCAGTTAACCCATTTTCCCACAGTAGAATTGCCCCACCTCCAAGCTTCCAAATTATAGATCATCAAAAGTTACTCCGGCCAATTTTGAGATGGTTACTTCCCAATCAATGTTTTGGTAAGGTATTGGATTAGGGATGGTAGATGGTGAAAAGTGTGTATTTTTAATAGACATCGAGGTCAACACATGATCATTCTACTCTTAGAAGAGGCTTGGAGGAATTGAAATGAAATAATCTACATTAGTTAAGGCAGAAAGTCTAGTCAAGAAATAAATCATTCTGTTACCCTAGGTTTTGGGAGTTCTAAAGACAAATTATCTGTGCGTTTAGGCCTGAAGAACTAATTATTTTCTGTGCAATAGTGAGATATAAATAGCAATTATAAGCTTCATTATTTTTTTTAAAATCTGGCTTCTAGAAAGTGGTATATATTTATTTGGATTTAATTGAGTTCTCTGTTCTCTTGCATGTCTGGGCTCATCCTGTGTTGGTAAAAGCTCATTAAAAGGGAGACCAGAATCCCCAAGTTCTCACACCAATTAGGTAACACATTCTTCCATACTCTGAATTACAGATCTGCTCCTAGAGACTAAGTCAGAAGTCTTTACAACACATAATGACTCCCAAAGGGCTTGTGTATTATTTAGGAGTCTGTAAATGAAAGTTTTACTTTTCAGGCTCAGTTTTCTGTTTTTAACCCAGCCCACTATTATTTTCTCTAAATTCCTCCCACCCTCAGTTTAGAAGGCCACTGTCTTAGTCCTTAGCCACAAAGTGTATATATAGTGTATATATATATATATTTTTTTTTTTTTGGAGAGATTTTCACCGTAGGGCGCGTGCGCTCGCCAGACAGACAGAGAGAGACATAGAGACAGAAAGCGAGAAATCACCCCCCAGGGGGGATGGTCATGCCGCAATCCCT